CCAGAAAACTAAACCCTAGTTTTTGAAGACCTATCAGAGACCAAAACGAGGCGAAAAATCGGGGCGGTGCGAGACGGGGAAGAATTACGACGAGGGAAAATTTACCGAGGCAAGGTTAAGTCAAAATATCAGAATTTTCCTCGTTATAGCTTCACAATATGAATATTAATATATAGACTATGTATTTGAATAGTGCATATATAAAAAGCCAGAATAAGAGTCTTTGGGCAATAGATTATATACTCAGCACCTCGTACAAGTATAAAAGTTTTTCGCTAAATATGAATAATCTCTATTGAATTCTGTCTTTATTGTGGAAAATGAATAAATAAAAAGCGCAAGAGAGAAAATCGACGTCCATTGATCAACTTCTTTCTCAAATTAAACTACCCAAAAAGTTTTCGCCAGATGCTAAAACAGAAATTTATGTAGAATTTATTAATACAATCATTTTTCAATAAACACTTTTTCATTTCTTTGTAACATCAAAACTACTAGATGCCACGAAAACATCAAGTACTCAGCATTTCACTAGAATCAGATGCAGTTTTTATTTTTTAAATAGCTTCCTATACACTATTCAAACACACTAAGAAAACGAGAGAAGCATGTTTATTTTGTAAGCATGAAGCTAAACATTTGTGCAAAACTTTACTACTTAAAAGAGACATACCAAGTATATATCAATAGTTATTGGACCGATGATGTCTTTAAGGTATTCTGCAGTTCTTCAACAAGAGATACATTGAGAATGCCCAACTAGATACACCATTTAGTGTACTAGACAACCTTACATGCCTTAATCGAAGAAAAATTAAATTTGAGCTCAACCTAATTTGGCTAAATTGGATCTATAAATGTCATGATTTTGAAGCTAGGAAATTCGCTATTTTCTGGTATTCAATGACTTTGGTGTTAGAAAAATGTGTCTAATGATGATTCAGCAGAGGACATTTTGTTAAACTGACAGAAAATTGCTTATCTTTTAACATCGGTATCAAACCTTTTTTTGATTCAGTCCAACTTAACACAAACAGTCCAGCAAAAACCTGCTATGTCCTTTATCACACGTTTTATTAGTGTTTATTTCTTCATCTAAAACTAGTATGACTACTGCTACCAACAACAGCTCAAAAAGCAAAATGTTGTCGTACTTGCGGAGCATGTCTGGCAAAAGTGACTTCCATAGCAACAGTTGATATTGAAAATGATCCAAGAAACATGTTTCTTGAACAGTTAATGGATGACGAAGTGACAAAAAGAATGTCGACATCAATAAAAATAAAAAGATGAAATCGATATAAATATCGATTCAAATTAGACAAAGACTGTTCAAATTCATACATATTTTGGCATGAACATGAAACCTTTTTTCCAGACTCTTCTGAATTGGCATGTCACATATACCAAATACCACACAATTCAGCTGTTGTCGACAGAGAGCTTTTTGCAGCAGGAGAATTTATCAAGCAAAGAAGACCTAATTTACATCCCACAACTATTAATAATATTTTATTTCTTTGTTCTATAGAAAAAAAACAAAAAGACTTATTAGTGACCAGTTATATTCTTTTTTTACTATTATATAGTTGTGCCTTTTTTTCCAATATGAAGTCAAACCAATGATATGATCAAAGGAAAGAAGATCTCATAAATATTCGACGAGGCAGTAAAAAAAAACACTCAAGATCGGGGCGAGTCGAGATGGAGACTACAAAATCTGCTCCGTTTCGGACTCTGATACCTATAATGTGTCATTATAGTTTCTCAACGACGTTTTTTCGCTAAGATACAACAATATTACGAAAGCTCATAAATTTAGATTTTTCGTATTTCAAATAGAAAAATCGCTTATGAGCTTCAATCAAATTGTCGTATCTCAGCCAATAAAGATTGTAGAGAACTCAGAAATATCTCATTTTGTAGATTATTGCTTGTCTATCATATTAGAGGAAATCTGATAATTATATTTATCTTCTTATATTCTTGGTAGAAACTATTTTCTCTACTTTTCTTCTGACGGTTAAGTCAGCGGAAAATAATTAAATAGAAATCTTGTTGAAAAATTCTGCTACTCACTACATGCGAGTAATTAAGAAAAAAGCAGTGAATAACAAGTCCTACTATCTCTGCTATTACGTGATTATTTTATTCAACACTGAAAGAGAAAAAAGTGTGATATAAGTTACGCATCCATTGCTTAGCAAAAGCTGCGAATACTTGTGCATTTTTCTTTTTCTATGCTTCTCATAGTATTGCTGTTACTGATATTTCTTAATATGTTCAAAAATGTATTTACAAGAACTGATCATCATATTTTGTACACTAATTTAATAGAAGTCTAATAAATATATTAAAAAAGTATTTTCTTATTTTACATTCATACTAAAAAATTTCAATGAAACTAAATTTTCATGATGATCGATTTGTTATTTTCCTTCTTTTATTTGACTTTCATGTTGTTAGATTTGGTGGTATTTTTTGTTCAGCTTGCTTAAGATTTTTAGTCAGATAACATGATCAGCACGTGTTCACAAGTCAATATTCCGGGGAGTCTTTCTATGAATTAATCAACCGATAAGAAGACTCTTTTCAGAGCTAAGTAATAGATAATCAGTTTTTGTTTCTCTTATATATCTATATAAATCGCTTCCATGTGCTTCTTTTCTCATTACTATAATGACCATTTTATCATTAGCATGGAATGCAAATAAGATCATTTAACATTTAAATAGACTATTTTATTCTTCCTAAGTTTGTATAGCCTACTCGATGAATCTTTTTCTATTAAAATGCCTATCAACTTTTGCTTCTTTTTATTCATGTTTACTTCTATGAATAATCTTTGTATTTTGTTTTAATGTTGTTTATTCTTGTAAAGACTTCGATAATAAAATACGAGTGAGAAATCAAAATAATGGAATGTTCATAGAAATTATAAGAATAAAACATAAGAATTTTGTTAGATTATCCAAAAAATTGATCCTACAATTGTATAATAAAAAGAATCAAATTTGCATTGCAAGATTCTTTTCCGGCTAGAGATATCTTGTCTGATTGACTTGATAATATCAATCAGATCAGAATCTCACATTTAACATATAGAAAAAGAATGTTGACTTGCATTGAGTATACATTAAAAAAAATTATTTCAGGAAGAAAAATAGTTTCATCTAGTCTGTCTTGTACACATCAATCTATCAATTTGTCTTCATGTGCATGTGGTCTCGGTTATGCGGTTACGTAAAACTATTATAGCATGGATCAGTTATAAACAAATGTCAATATCTTTTTTTCTCTTTTATCCTTTCCTCATGTCTATCCCTAAGTATACATTATCGATGTTACAGCTGTGCAATATGTAGCAAATTTAAATAATGAAAAGAATGTCTACGAACAAGTTTCGACATTCTTTTAGATTCTTTGTAAAGTGACTATATATGGCTTATCGCATGACTAAACATTCTTGGATTCTGTGATTACAAACTATTCGATAATCTGTCTATCATCAACAATATCATTATCTTTCAATATTCTTTAGCTTTTTTTCTTCGTTCATGTGAAAATCTTTGTAAAATTTTTAAATTATTTAATATAATAATCTTTGATTAAAACCATTGGATTTAGTTTGAACACTGAAACAGAAAGTTTTCTATGTGATAATCCTAGTGTTTTTTCTAAGAAACATTACTATTTTCTTTCAAATACTTTTCATTTCAAATACACACTTATTCCTAGTAAATGTAAAGAAGATTTGTAAGCATGTCAAGTTCCATATTTAAATATATATATTTAGCGCAGAAAGACAGTTTTTTTTATCATATCAATGGAACTATATACGACATTTTTTTTTATTTTAGCATATTTACAATTATCTTACTCCAAAAGGAAATCATTAATCAGATTACAAAACTTACAGTATATTTATGGATTATGATAAATAAACAAAAGAAAAATAATTAACTTAGTCATTCTTTTAATTCAACAAGTTAAGTCAAGAAAGGAAACATTATATTTCAATAATTTCAGATTTATCGTAAGAATCTCGTAGCAAAACAATCATGTACATGTCTCTTGTCTATCTTTAACTAAAATTGATAGAATATTCTAAGAATCTGAATACGAAAGGATATTTAAACAATGTCAAATGGTATTTCATAAAACTAAACTAGTCACAGATTACATTCTATAAACATATAAAATTTCGTGTTAATGTATGTGTCAAACTCGGACTAAATAATTTGTATTCCTGTAGACAAAAAATAAAAATTGCTTAGAGATATTCTAATAAAAAGTGATAGATATGATTTTCAAAATAAATACCTTTATAAAAGAAGATTTCATATTAAATGTTATATGACTAATTAAAAGTTATTCATTTCGAGTATCTTTCAAAAAATTTTCTTAATATTATTTTAATTTTAAATGGCTTCAGATCAATAGTCAACTGTACTTTTTTCGACCATATCACATTAAAACTCTTCGAACAAAAAATGTTAAATAAATCACCTCAAAGTTTTCTTTCTAAACAATTTTCATAAACATAAAATATCGGCTTCTTTTTTTCCACATAGTGTAGTATATATTATAAAAAGGGAAGAAAAAAAAAAGAAAAAAGACAGGGACAAAAGTAAGTAGCAGAGTAAAGGTTGTTGATGATGATAAACACAACAGTGAATAAGACGACGATACCATGACGAACAAAAAAAGAAAAAAAGAAAGAAGAGTATGACGCTGCAAGAGAAAAGCGCGCAAAAAAAGAACGTAGAATAACATCACTCACACATGCACACGCACATCTACACATGACAACGACAAGACACAAGTTATGAGAAAAAAAAAAAAGAAAAACGTTGTTGCCTGTCAGACGTCATTCTTATACTTCTAAAACTGCAAAATTGTTGGACGAATGCAGGATCTTTGCTGTTTTATGTTCTTATTATATACATTCATAATAATAATAATAATAATTAAAAAAAATAAACATCAAACTTATGCGACTATCTAGAAGAATTTGTATTATACGATGACACAGGCGCATATTGTTGTTGTACAGACGACTGTTGTTGAAGTAATTTAGAAGCAAACAAATCTTGTTTCAATACAGGATTTACTTTTTAATAAAAACAAAACAAAAGAAAAAGTAAAATTAATATATATATATATATATATATATAATACAATAAAACATTATTATTAATTTTCTTACCATCTAATTTTTCATAATCAATTCGCATACTTTTATGTGTTTTACGCCAAAGTTGTACATCAAATACACAATAAACACCTGTTTCATATGTATCATATTTTTGATCAGGCATTATATTTTTTATTCGTGTTAACCATATACGTTCTTCTTTATGATAACGCCAATCTCGTCGATATAATTCAGCAGCAGCTAATAATTGCACATGATCATTACCAAATAAATAAAATAAAAAAAATAATGTATCTTCATTTAATGTATTAAAATTAAGTGGAGGTAATTTGTCACGTATTTGTAATCCCATTTGATATTCAAATGGAACTTGATAATCAATTTCATATGGTCGGGCTTGACTATCGGAAAATGGAGATAGAAATGATGGATATAAATCATTTTGACTTTCCATACCTAGAATAGGAAATTTATTTGAAATAAAATTCATATATATATATTCATTGAACCTTTTCACGATAGAATTCTTTTGTTTTGTGAAACAAACTAATGAAATGAATTTTATTGATTTTTCAAAAACTGGTACAGTGCATCTGTATGTCGCTCATATCAAATCATCGAGCAATGCCAATTAGATTAATAATAAATAGTACGCATCAATAGATGTGAACTATTTTGAGACGAGAAACGCCTATATGCGTCTTCGGTCTTGAAAGGGTTAGTAATGAATCGATATGAAAATAAAAATGAAATCAATCGAATTTTATTTGATGATTGAAAATAAGAATCTTTATTAAATCATAGAAATTTTCAATAGAAAAAAAAAAAAAAAAAGAAAGAAACTGAGTGAATATTATGAAAGTTTATCTAGAGATTGTGTATTTCATTATAAATGAAATGATAAGAAAATTTTTGAACAATTATTATATTTATTTTTGATTATTTATAAAATATTTTTCTTTTAATTTATGATATGAAATTTTCATTTTAAGAATATATTAAAATTTATAAAGAAAATACATACTAAGTCCGAGTGTCGTCAGATCATAATTTAGTAATGTTGATGTTTCAGGATTTTTTTCTGCTTGTTGTATCATTTGTAGAAGACCAACAAGACCATATTGATCTGTAATTGTTGATGATGGTAGACCATTTGTATTAGTTGTTGTTGATGTATTCGATATTTGTTGCGGATTTGTTGTTGATGATGATGATGCTGAATTATTTGTTAATGATGTTGCTTTATTATTAACTGATGTTTGACGTCGATTTATTAATGTACTTAAAGCATCCATAGATGTTTTAAATGATATTGGTGATTGTGATTGAGAATGTTGTTGTTGTTGTTGTTGAGATGAACTATATCCATTGGTTATTGGTTGATGAAGATTTGATGACGATGATGATGATGAATATTGACTTTGATAAAGTGGTTGTACATTCGTAGATGATGATGTTGATTCATGAGAATTATTTCGATGTGGTAATGGAGGAAAATCTTCTTGTTGTAATTCAAACTAATATTTATAATAATAAATTATATTTAGAGAAAAACAAAAAAAAAAGGAAAGAACATATTCTTATATTTTACATTTTTTTCAATTTGTGTTTGAGAAGATGATGCTAATGCTGATGCCATAGTTAATCCAAGTATACTATCAAAATGTGATGATGATGATGATGAACTTAAAGAATTTGTTTGTTGATTATTAAGAATATTTTGTTGTTGTTGTTTCAGTAATAATTGTTGTGTTAATGATGATGATGATGATGATGATGTTGGTTGTCCTATTGTTGTCCATTGTTTCCCACCACCAACGGAACCAAATAGTGATTGAGAACTAGATGCTAGTGATGGTGGTATTGTTGATACTCCTCCATTACTATTAACATGTGAAAATGGTGATGTTGATGGTGTTGTTGAATTGGCAGCTGATGCCAAATTAAGATAAGCCATTATGTTGAAAAATGAAAAATTAAATGAATTTTTAATTTTTACAAAAGGAAAAATCTTAAATAAAAAATAATCATAAATATTTATTAAACGACAACCGCAAGTAAACAAATTCAATATATATGCGTAGGTAGTAAGCAAAGATAAACTGACAGATAAACATTAGAACAAAAAAGAACAAATCTATAAATATATTCTGATTAATAAAATAATAATTTCTTTTTTGCTGTTGTTTTTTTTTTTCGTATAAATCACGATGATAATCTATGAATATAGTCATTATCCTAAGTGAGACAAGAACCTAGGATAGATGGATGAATGAATTGACACTCGATAAAATGGATCGCGACAATCGTCTTCATTTAATCAGAATATATTTTTTTGTGATACATAAATCAAATTTAATCATAAATTTTTATCTGTTTACTTAGAAAAAAAAGAATATTTCATTTAAGTTAAATTTCAATTATAAATGACATGTGGCGACAGATGGATTCTTATGTGTAAAATTAATAAAAACCATCCGAAATTTTTTTGTTTATTTACTTTCTCATGTGAATAAAGAAAAGAACTTTTTTTAACCTTTTCGATCAAACACCTACACCATAATTCATTTTTTATTAATTTGAAAAAAAAATTATGTATTTATTTGCAAAAAAAACATATTCTTTAATTGAAACATTAATTTTAAATCGAATTCATTCTATTATTCGACTGACAATCTAAAGAAAAATTCGTTATTCAATCATTTACGTAGTTAGCTTAGACTTGACTCTATGAGAATGAAAAAAAGAAAACTTCTTTGTATTTTTGCCAAGCGCTTCATATTGTTATAACACGATTAAATATGTCCCCAAGAACAAAAACTTCAATTATAAAATTTGTTAATACTATTTCAATTTTTCAAAAAAAAAAAATACAAGTAGTCATGATGCTGAGTCTCTTTGATAGTCTCATGTGCTTTGTCACCATGATATATGATAAAGCATTTTTTTTCTATTGTTATATTTTTTAGTCAGTATAACTATATAATTCTTTCGAATTTCAAATGTAGCAAGTTTCATTTTTTCTTTTATTTCAGATTTAATTTATGAAATGCATTTAACATATTTATCTATAGTCTATTTATTATTTCTATTTATTAATTTAACCACGCAAGATACATCAGTGATTTCTTTTGAGCCATCTTCTGTTAGTCTTTCCATGGGTGAAAATAAATCAGTAAATATTCGTCTTCTTAAATCAGATAAAACTATTCCTATTTCTCTCGAATTTCTTTATGATGGTAAAGTTAATAATACACAAGACTATATTAATTCAATACCAAATATAACATTTGAAAATGATACAACTGATGATCGACATCAATCTATTATTATAAGTGGTCGTCATCAGGGTCATCTGGTTTTAACAGCACAATCGTCACAAATAAATATATCATCATTAGTAGATTTCCTTCTTATTGATGTAGCACGTAGTAATGTACTAAATATATTTGTACAAATTGTTGGCTGGATTTATTTTGTTGCATGGTCTATATCATTTTATCCTCAAATAATATTAAATTTTCGACGTCGAAGTGTTATTGGACTTAATTTTGATTTTTTAGCATTAAATATTCTTGGACATTCATGTTATTCAGTATTTAATGTTGTTTTATATACATCATTAAAAGTTCAACAACAATATTATGCTAAACATCCACATGGTGTTTTACCGGTTTTGCTTAATGATGTAAGTTTTATTTATTAATTAAATTTTCAAAAGATTATTAAGACAAAATTAAAAAGAATTTTTCTGCGAATCACTAAAAATTGTTTTTATTTTCATGTAGATTAAGAAAATAACCCTCATCTATCAGGTCATATCGAGTTTCTTGTAAGAAAGGCTTAGCTTATTTTCCATTAATTTTTTTCTGCCTCTTAAAGAAGACTACAAAAAGTTGAAACTATTGAGTTGAAATCAAAATTTTGTGTAATTAAAATTGGACGAAGAAAATAGAAATTGTATACTGCATTCGTTATATTACAGATATTTTTTGCATAGAATTAAATACAAGATTATTTTCTACAAAATTATATAAGAAACAGAAGTTTTAAGGATGGTCTAACTCATTTTACAAGTGTATTTTCCATAGAAATTGAGAAGATTGTCTATATTATTTACGAACCTCAAAAATGTTAGTTCATGCCTCTTAAACCGCAAGTCATACAAAAACATATTTGAAGTCATATTCAGAAAGAAAACAAAATTTCGCTTCTCATCCAATGTTTTGAAATATCTGAAAACTTCTTTAAGAATCTGAAAAATGAACGAATATTTTGTCAAATTCCTTTTCCAAAACTTACTATTATGTTTAATCATACAAATTTATTCAGACAGATCTTCAACAATTGACAATTATTTTCACAATTTTAAGGTTTTCGGAAGAGATTTGTTAATTAACCAGTTACCCTATGTTGCTTGATATATATAAGAAAGATACATAGAGAATAAGAGATGACGATTTGTGTTAATCTCATCACATTCACATTTATCTTCACCTGCACTATCATTCAGCACTCTCAGAATCGTCGTGTACATCTTTCGAGATATCAATATGTATTTTATTTCGAAAGATTCTTTATCTTCTTTGTTAAATATCTATTTAATTGAATTAAGATAACAAATAAAATAAACTTATTAATTCTAGGTAATATTCAGTTGTCATGCTGTTTTTGCATGTTTTCTAACAGTTATTCAATGTTTATTATTTGAACGTGGTAGTCAACGTGTATCTTATATTGCTCGCTTATTAGGTGGTATTGGTATTGTATTTTTATTTATATCATCAATTATTTCATTATCTAATCATTTATCAACATTATCATTATTATATTTTTTTTCCTATGTTAAATTAGCAATAACAATAATAAAATATTGTCCACAAGCATGGATGAATTATAAACGAAAATCAACTGAAGGTTGGTCTATTGGAAATATTCTTTTAGATTTTACTGGTGGTTTATTCAGTTTATTACAAATGTTTTTACTTTCAACAAATTATAATGATTGGTCATCAATATTTGGTTCACCGACAAAACTTGGTTTAGGTTTATTTTCGATTTTATTTGATATATTATTTATTATTCAACATTATATACTTTATCGTACGCACGATCGACATACGAAACGAATAAATGTATCAAATAATGAATTTAATGAAAATTCACCAATTCTTTCAGCAAAATCCTAATTAAGAAATGCAATGTTTTTTTTTTCTCCTTGTATGATGTATTTTCTTTCCATTGATATAAATCATGTTTGCTTTTTCTTTCTATTTTCACTGATTGACATTAATCAATAAAATAAATTATATTGTTTGAATTTTCTTTTTAATTTATATGAAATACGATTGATCGAATGATAAAAAGTTTAATTATAGTGATAGTTGAGTTATAGTTTTCTTTTGTATTTTTATTATTATAATGAGACCTTTCAAGTTTGAATAGATATATATGATTTAATTTAAAATTGATAAGATAAGATGAATAGTTAGTTGTCTTGAACTTTTGATCAATCAGTTAGAACTGTTTATAGTATACCATCTGTTGAAAATAATAATTCAGGAGATAAGAGAAATGAGTCTAAAAGGATTGTATTTCACAATGTAATTATAAAAGACTTTGAGCATATACCGAAAAGAAAATGAGGTGGATGAGAAGGGATTTTTAGATTGTAGAGAAGAAATGATGTATGACAAGAAGTGAATGAAAACAAGTTAAAAATTGATGATGGTTCGTGTTTTCATAGTAAGAAAAGAATAACGTTCTATATAATGTTAAAAAAAAACTTGATCCGATGAGTTTCAAATAACTGCTTATATTATTTTCTTTTAGAAAGAAAAACATTTACATACTTTTCATATCTCATATATATTCATATGGAAACTTGTTGTGCTTCATGTATCAATCTTAATCAAGCAAATGATTATCTTATCAATTCATATTCTTTTTTTCTCTTCTAATCATATTTCATATTCAAGCATTGATTCTTACACGTGACGTTACTCACAGAGTCATTTCGTTGTTTTCTCCTTGTTATTTAGTTGTTTTTAATAAATTTACAAAACTTTTTTTTTAGGATGAGTATTTCAGATTCTTTTGTACGTATTGAGTCTTGGTTATCTAAAAATGCACCTAATGTTCTTCTTCAATTAAATAATCCTATATCATCAACTGATGAACTTGATAAAGTTGAAACAATCTTAGATGCAAAATTTCCTCCATCTGTACGTGAAGCTTATACATATCATGATGGTGAATCAAAACAATCAACAGGTTTATTTGGTGGTTGGCGTTGGTTACCATTACATGAAATAATTCAATGGAATGATGAACAAAAACATAATGTTCAAAAATATCATTTTCTAGATTTTAAACCATCATTTATGATACCATTGTTAATATCAACAATATCATCCAATGATTTACGTTATGTTGAAACAAGTGATGTTCATGGTCAAGAAGAAACACCAGTTATTGAATGGAATTATAAACAACCAGCTCGTGATGTAAAATATGGAAGTCAGTGTTTTTTTTTTCTTTAGATTTCCATTAGAGAGATCTTGTAAATATGACTTTGTTTTATGTTTTTTTAGGTTTTGCAAATTATTTATCAACATTTGCTGAGAGACTTGAACTTGGCGAATATATTCCTGATGTTAATGATCAAGAAAAAGCACGTGGACTTATTCTTAAAAAATAACTCGTTTTTTTTTTCTGTGTGTTTATGTAAAAATGTTATGCTTTTTAAAGAGATAACAATAGCACAAGAATAGCTGAGAACAGTTAATAATTATCTCATCTTTTTCCTTGAGAAAATTATTACGAAAAAAAAAAAAGATGAACAAGTAGACTTATATAGGTTCTGAACTCTCGTTTATTCAATTTACGTAGTTAATTAATAGCATATATGTTTGGCTTTTCCTGTACGAGATATACAAGATAATTTACGTATAATAAAAAAACAAAAAAAAAATCTTCAATTGAACATTTTCAATATCTTGTTATCGGTTAGTATTTTTATAGCTTTCTAATTAAATGCAATAAAAAATTTCACAAAATAATAAATATATCAATCATCAAAGAAAACATCTATTTGTTTGCTTTTTTTCTTTGTTTTAATTGAGATGACANGATGAACAAGTAGACTTATATAGGTTCTGAACTCTCGTTTATTCAATTTACGTAGTTAATTAATAGCATATATGTTTGGCTTTTCCTGTACGAGATATAGGATCGTTCGGAAATCTTGTGATCAGTTAGAGTAGAGTCTTGAAAATATTACGTATAATCTTTCGAAGGAAGAAGCCAACTGGACTCATTCCCGTATCTAAATGCACCAAACAAAGTTTGACATCCGAATATGAAAAACGTTCTTCAATCAATGGTCAAATTATGAATTGTTTCAAGATGCATTTTTCAACTATTATAATACATTGGGAAACGAAGTAAGAAATTTCAAATGTCTTTAGGATACATATTAACTACTGAATATTGAATAGAAACAAATTAAGAAAAATAACGAACTAATTTGGCGAAGAAAACTTGATTAAAAATGTCAATTTACTCACAAATTAAAGGAGATCAATGAATGTGTGACATCGATCACTCAACTTAAACAAGCTAGTTTATTAATAACTGAAAATGACAACAGCCAATTGAATATAGTTAATACTCAAACAAAAGAATTTGAAAACAAATAAACTTAAATGTCTTTAAAATCATACTTCTGCTTAAAAGCATTTGAGAGATAAACAAAAGAAAAAACGAAGAACAATTGATTTTTTAAATGAATTTCGAAATATACACAAATAATGAAAACAAGCAATTTAAAAACAAAAGACTGATTTGAAAGAAAATTTGGTATTTTAGGGAGAAGATGATCTGTTCTAAATCCAGCTTGATCACAGAGAGGAAGTCCTAAAAAACTGAGCATGTAATTTCTAAACAGCCTCTATACAAGATAATTTACGTATAATAAAAAAACAAAAAAAAAATCTTCAATTGAACATTTTCAATATCTTGTTATCGGTTAGTATTTTTATAGCTTTCTAATTAAATGCAATAAAAAATTTCACAAAATAATAAATATATCAATCATCAAAGAAAACATCTATTTGTTTGCTTTTTTTCTTTGTTTTAATTGAGATGACAACTTCTAGATTCCGAATGTATAAAAAAAAAAAGAAAAAGAAAAAGAAAAGACAAAAAAAGAAGTAAATGAAGTAGAGCAACGTAAGGAAAATTCATCTAATCAACAAAAAAAGAAAAAATTCAATGAACAGCTAGCTGCCGTTATCGCACACAAAAACACATTCATATAGAAAATAAAAGCGAGATACAACATTTAATAGATCATACCCGCTTATGTCTATCATTGCTATTTGTTGCATCAACAAGTGCAAGAAAAACAAAACAAACAAAAAAAACAAAACAAAACAACTGTTCTGAATGTGCATGTGTGACGAGACAGAATTGTAAAGGAATGTAATACGTACATATTAGCATTTAATCTATGTACGAGAGAAAGAGCGACAAGAATAAGAAACATAAGACGAAACAAGCAAATAAACAATTGTGCCTAATCTACTATTCATCATATAAATACGAACATGTATTAACACAAAGAACATATTCGATGATGTTGTCTTCTTCGAGTTTTTGTTTGACGAATATTATCAATACTAATTGTTCGACTACAATTGCAATTCCATGCAGATCGATTTGAACGTCGTGCGTGTAATTGTTCATCATGCACAGCTTGTTCTAGTTGATTGTTATGTGGCGAATGCACTACTGAAATTGAACCATCAGGTACAATTGTATTATCTGGTTGTTGTTGTTGTTGTTCTTCACTATTTTCTGTCGATGGTTGATGTAATTCAGCTAAATAATCGTACATTGTAAATGTTTCAAAACGATTTAATGCTGAAACAGGAAAAGGTATAAAATCAAATGTACGTGGTGGTCGTCGTCGAAACCAATCATGTTGTTTTATTTGTTCGATTGTAAAACGTGAACTTTTATCAATATGTAATAAACCATATAGAAGTGATGTTAAATGTGGCTCAATATCATCTGGTATTGTATAAATACCTTTACCTATTGTTTGATATAATAAATAAATGTTATCAGCTTCAAATGGTAAACATCCAGTAACTAAATTAAATAATGTTACACCACATGACCATATATCAATAGAAAAACCACTATATGCATCATCACCATTAGCTATTTCTGGACATTGGAATGCAGGAGTACCTATTTTAGTTTTTTTTTTTTTTTTGAGAAAAAATTTTAATTATATTATTAGTCATATTGAATATAGAAATGATACAGATATTCATCAGCGTTGTTTTTTTCTTTTTTTTTTTGTAAAAAAAAATTTAACTCATAAGAATTAGAAAAATTTATTATTTAATTTCGAATTATATAAGATGTAATTTAATTAAATTATTTGCTAAATTTGATTAAGACGAGTTAATTATATATGAAATGAGACTGAAGAACAGTTAATACTCTTTTTCTATAAATTCTCCCTCAAAATTTGATTATAAATAATTTAATTTAACTTCATCTAATTGTTCAGTCACATGAGACAGATCGAAATAATCGATCTTTCGTAAGTAACTATTTTCTTTAGTTTACTATATATCATCAGATGTTTGTCTAAACGTTTTCTGAAAATATTTCATAACATAACCAATTAAAGTATTCACAATATGTTTTTGAATATCTATCAAAATCATACTATTTTACTAACAGATTAAACCACATCGATAAAAAAAACCCACAGAAATAGACGAAAGAAACGTGATATTGACTACATCAATGATAAGAATGTTTTTCTTTTCTTTATCAAAAACTGACAAACCTTGACTTCGTTTGATGGTATCATCAGGACTAAACCTAAACATTAAAAAACAAAACATCAAGTTCAATTTTTCAAGAACAAAAAAAAAAAAGAAAGAAAATTTTTTTTTTTTCTCAAATCATTACTTACATATCAAGTTGTTCAGCTGTACCAAAATCTGTTATTTTTAATTGATGATCAACAGCAATTAATAAATTTCCTGGTCTAGATAAAAGAAAATCATGAGACAAACTTTTTATTTTAAAATTTTCTCATCATTACGTACTTAATATCATTATGAATAATAAATTTCGAATGTAAATATTCTAATCCACTAATTAATTGAATAAAATATCCATGTGCTTGCCATGTTGGAAAAGCATTAAGTTTTAATTTAAGTCGTTCATCTGAATCAAGCATCTCTTGTAATGATACAACACATAAATCAATAAACAAATATAATTTCTGTTTTTCATCATTTCGAATAAAATCATATAATTTAATTATATTTGGATGATTTAATTTTTTTAATATCCGTATTTCTGTAGCAGCCATTTTTTCACCATGTGGTGTTTTACGTAAACGACGACGTTGCATAATTTTAACAGCACGTCGACATAAATTTCGACGATCTAAACATTCTTTAACTTTAGCATATGAACCTTGTCCAATAACATCACCAAATAAATATGGTCCTATAAATTTTGCACGTTTACGTTTTGAATAAAAATTATATTCATCTTCAGATGATACACGTTGGATAGGTACAGGTGTTGGTGGTGTTAAATTAAGTAATAATGCTGCTGTTTGTTCACCATCATCTTCATCTTCACCAAGTAATAAATCAAATTGTGCTGGACGTGTTGATGATGCTACTGATGGAGAAAAATGTTGATGACCATTATTATAACTATATAATATTGATGGTTGTTGTTGTTGTTGTACTGAAGGATAAGTTGAATGATTTATTTTGTTATTTTCATCATCATTTTCTTCTTCTTCGTTAATATTTTCTGGATCTTCAACAATTACATTTGGTAATTCTGTTGGATATTGATATGTTGTTATTGATGTTTTTTCAGCCATTACCAAGCATCATTTATGTCTAAAAAATATATTTGATTAAAATGAATATGGAAATTATGTAATAAGAATAAAACAAGAAAAATAAAACAACATTTTCGTTTATTATTATTTCTTTATTTGATAATAGTATTGATAATAAAACTAGAGAAATTAAATTTATTATTTTCTATGTTAGAACAGAGAGAAACGAAACATTTATGTTTTTATTTCAAAAACGAAATGTTCTTATTTTATGGGACAATCTATTCATGGTGATGGTTAGACAAAATAACAAATTAAAAATTAGATCTTATCCTTTACTTATTTATCGATAGATGGCAATAGTTATTATGAAAATTTTTTTTCTTTTATTCTTTTACGAATAGAAGTTTGTTTTTATTATAATTTTTTTTTCTTGTTTCTAAATGTCAATTAATGTGTCTTTTCAAGATGACATTTTCATCTTTTTGCTCATTATTTATTAATTTATATGTGCTTGATTATTATAATCCAATTTCAATGGTAGATTTAGAAGCAAAGAGGCTCATATTCCCATTCAAGATATTTTCTTCTTCTTCTTTTTTTCTAATAAAAACGAACGAATAAAAAAAAACAGTTTATAACTATTTTGGATGAGTCTAAAAAAAAAGTGATTTGTTTTTTGTTTACAATCACTTCCGTTTTTTTTTTTTTCGTAAAATTTTGATTTACTGATATCACATCTCAGATATATCATAATTAAATCATTTCCAGAAGTTTTTTCATTATGTTTTGCACTTTTCTTCTTTGAAAAATCGATTGGCTGATATATATTACTATCAAATGAAAAAACACACCTAGACACATAAATAAGTACTAGCAAATATTTTTGTGCTTGCTTATTTTTTTCTCCTTGAGTAGTTATAAAGAAAACTAGCATTTTAGTTTTTCGTCCTTTTCTCTCTCTCTCTCTCTCTCTTTTTCTCTCTCTATACATAGAGTAACGACCTTCGACGTCTTATTTTTCATCTCTCAATTTTACGCTCATCATTTTCGCTGTACCTTCCCTAATAGCTTGTATTTTTACACTTGGCAACTATCAATCACTTCTATCAACCACAACTACCTTACAGGTAAGACTCATACATTTTTCTCTTGTTTCATTTTTCACGAAACCACAATTTTTCTTATTTATTTTTTTCCTATTTGGTGGAATCAAATTGTTACTCATTGCACAGAAAACTAGAAACTTTGTCTGTTGAAAAATGAACCAAAATTCAGCATTCGCACCAACAGACAGTGACGATCAATCTGTACAATCTTCAGACCGTCGAAATGTGCGACGAGGATCATCTCATAGTCCACAACCTGATATATCTTCTCATATGGATAATAGTGAGAGCAGTGCACGTGGTGAACGTAGTAGACGCATTCAACGTAGTAGCTCATCATCAAGCACATCTAGTACAGAAAGGAGTCGTGATCGGAAACTTGGTGATCGAGTTGAAGGTCCAGCAGTGGTAACTTCACAAGCACAACAACAAGCACCACCAGTACAACAATCACCACCACAGCAACAACAATATATACCTGAGGCTGGTAAAGTTCCTGTAGGAACTACAGTCGTATCGCATGGAGGATTTACTGGTGGAGCACAGGTTATAAACGGGGGTTCATTTGGAACTATTGGTGGTGGTGAACGAAGAAAAGGTCGTTTTCGACAAGAATATATTCGATTACCTGATCAACACCAAGGACATGTACGTCAAGTACGGCATCGTTTGCCAACTCCTGAACCTGATACAATCGAACGAGTGTCAGTTTAAGAAATATTCTTTTACTTTAGTTCAAAACACTTTTTTTTTTCTTTTTCTTTTATGTATAGTTATGTTCAACGTACAGCAGCTGAAATCATAGAAGAAATTACAGAAATTCCAACAACACCACCACCAATTGTTAAAGAACGAAATGTTGTTGAACCAGCTGGACCACCGCAAGTAGTTAAACGCACTATTCGTGTACCACCAAGAGGTGGCGCCTACGGTGGTCATTTTCAACAAGAAAGTGCTAATGTGCATTACAGCGATAATCTATTGAGCGCAGGAGGTTATAAAAATACTCAACAGGTTGCTAGTAGTTACCAGCAACCTGAGGCTACCAATTATTCGAGTGGATATGGTGCAGCAGCAACCACTGCTAGTCCTAATAGTACCATGGGTAGCGGTTTTGGCTCTGTTGGTAGTGGTTTCGGTTCTGTTGGTAGTGGTTTTGGTTCTGTTGGTGGTGGATTCGGCTCTGCTGGTGGTTTCGGTTCTTTTGGTGGTTTTGGCTCCGCTGGCAGCGGCTATCAACAACAAGCACCTATTATGTTTAGTGTTGGTGGTAGTTCATCTCAGCCTATGCCAGGAATTGGTTGTCATCCTGCTTTCTGTTTTTATATTTGAACATTCATAATTTCACCATTAATGCTGACAAAAACACATTAAAAAAAAGAGAGAACTCTGAATTATATATCTGGTTTGTTTCTATATAGTTCTAGACGCTTTTTTATTACGAAAAGGATTTGTCTTTTGCAATAGTAACAATCAGACAATATATGAAAGTTAAAGTTCTTTCTCTTTTTCTTCTCTTATGAATAAATTATACTTGAATTTTGCTATCTTTTCCTTTTATTACTTTATTCTCTATAACGTCTTTTATTTTGAAAAACAAACATAAAGATAGACCGCAAAAAAAAAAACAAAATTACACGTCAACACATACATACATATAATATCATCACGTTACACATCAGTGCACACTTTCGACAGGCAAAAAAAGAAGCAACGATAATGAGAAAATAAAATTATGTACATTTTATTTCTTAATGATGCCCAATTGGAATAATAGTTACGTTGTCATTACGTTGTCCGTAATCAACACAACGTGATGGTTCATTTGGATAGAGTTTTTGTGCTCGACTTACAAGACGTTTAACCGCTTGAATATATTTACGTTGTGTTTCATCATTAAGCACATGAGCAACATGTTTTGAAGCTATTTTTTCACGACCTGGACGGGGATGGATACCAACCATAGTAGCACCAAGAGGCCTAAAAATAAATTAAAAGTCATATTTTAGACATCACAAAAACATGATATATTAACAAGCCTTTATTTTTCTTTTTAGTATCCTCTTTTTTTGATCGTTCTTATGTATAATTTATCGAGGTCTAGCTTATATATTCGAATCTGTTTACGTATGAATATCAACTCCTTTATATCAAATTTGATAACTGACAGATAATAATATTTTACTATTCAAAAATTCAGCAGACATGACAGCTATAATAAGTATTATATTTTTATGGCCCATAGACTAAATGTATGCTGACAGACGTGTAAATTGACTACATTGATCATATCGATCAACATCATAGGCTCAAAAGTAAAAAGAAAAAACTTTGTTTGATACGAAACTAATTACTAATCTTATTTGACGTTACGAAACATCATCAATTAGATATTTTGTTCGAAATAAAGGGTCATAAACCTAATTTACAAGAAACCATACTTTTATTGTATACAAATATCAACAACAAAAAAATAAATTAGATAATAATCTAAAAGTTGATTTACTATCTATGTTGCATATTTGTTCACACTACCCATTGTACACTGACAGTTGATTACTGGTCGAAAAACCAATATCAGTATATCGAACAATCTATCGGAAGTTTTTGTCCAGTATAAAACACATAGGTACATCACCTCTATACAGTTTTATTTCCTATATTGACTTAAAAACTGATTTCTATCTTAGAAATATTTTTTATTGTTATCTGTCGTTGTAATAAAACAAAACTAGCATCAATTGAAATATGAATAATGAATAATAAATAATGAATATAATACAGATATTTATCTTTTTGGGTTTTTCCCACCAACGAAAAAGAAACATAATATTATGTACAAATTTTTCTTTCGTCAATAAACAATGTTTTATTTAGAGTAGAGAATGTGTTTACTGGACGCAAGGTTGCGCTTCTCCTTGACACCAATAATTATTACGGCGCATACAACGGCATTCGTTTAGACAAACAAAAAAAAAAAAATATATCCAAGCTACTTTTGACAAAAACAAAAACTGACGAAAACAAAAGCCTTTAAACGTCTGCGAAAAAAGATGCATGTGTATTTTTCGTTCTTCTCACCTGTCAATCAATCTTCTTTTGCTATGGTAATAGTTTTCTGCGATAGATCATTATGGAAATAGGCAAGCAAAGAACTTTCAACACATTATATTCGTTGAACTAACAAAATAATTTTTTCATAAAATCATAATGTATTTCCTAGTTGATTGATTTTTTTAAAGACTAATCTATGATTTTTCTTCATACATGAAATAAGAATTTTCATATTGATGAACACGTATTTCTATCAGGATTGCCAGATCAAAAAATTAAAAATCGGAAAGCGATTTTACTGTGTTAAGATACCTGTTTTTGTTGTCTTATAAGTATAATGTGCTTTACTTGGTTTCTGCTAATTTATTCATACTGTATTAAAAAGATACTTCGTAATTAATAATCGATAAAAACAATATAAATGTCAAGTTCAACCAGTATGGGTGAAACTAAAAAGGAATCCAGTTTCGAATATATTTTCTTGTGAGGCTTACAGGTAATTTTACGACATGATGTATTATCCAATATGATTTGTGATAATGGCAAATCAGTCACTTTTAAAATGAGATTCTTTAGCGGCTTTCGAAAGTGCATTGGCATATAACTGACAGCAACATACTATCGTTATCAAGATTTGTTAATGAAATTCTTCCATTTCTTCATCGTTATCACAAAGCTGCTTGAGAATCATTTACTTGTTGATACAGTGCTCGAGAGCTACTTATCGAGTAGAACCTTAGGTAGAACGCTTAATGTGTCGAAAACTCGATATATCTTCTGAAAAAAGAGGTAACATAGCTTTTCCTAATAAAATTTCTCTTTGAGAACGCCTTCTTCTCCTGAGCCATGGTAAAAAGACTTGAGTCTTCCAGGATATTATGTGCCTAATATTGAGGTAATATAAAAACACTTTGAAAAAATAGATCCATTGCATCGTCGGTGAAAAAATTTTTGACAATGAATCACCTTCTCTGAAGAACAAAATCGATAGTTGACAAATACAGTGTGGCTCAAAAGTTGCCGGCAGTCTTTGATTGCGAATAACTTATGATAGAAATAATATAGATAGCTGCGATTCTCATCGCTCGAAAGAGGAGATGAAGACGCATAGAACTGTATAATATAAGATAATTTGACTTAATGTTTTCAAAAACTTAAGCCGACTTTTTTGAAAACCAACGTACTCCGTAAGGTGACTAGACTGAATTTTTATGACTAGGCGTGCATTCCGACCGCTACTCAAATATCTACAAAACTGTGCAAAGCCCAGTCGTTGAGAATTACCGGGTGTTCCAAAAGTTTTGCAACATTTTGTATTTTGCATTTATCTCGACTTGAGAAAATGATAAAAATCTTGATGTTTTTCTTAAAAGATGCACCGTGAAAAGCTCTACAAAAACTGTATAAAGAAATCTCTATTAACTGGTTCTGATGGTTTTCCGACGCTTAATACGAACAACCTACATGGTAGTGCTATGTCGCAATATTAGAAGATGTTTGGAAAACATTTTTTGTTTTGCATATATCTCGATTTGAGAAAATGATGAAATTTTGATTTTTTTCTTAAAAGATGTACCATGAAAAGCTCTACAAAAACTGTATAAAGAAACTTCTATTTACTGGTCCTGATGGTTTCCGAGATGATTAAAAATGAAGATATGCGTGACATTGTTACCGGATGTTATAAGTTTTTTTATTTCGTCTATATCTCGACTTGAGAAAATGATACAATCTTGATTTTTTTTTAAAAGATGCGCCGTGAAAAGCTCTACAAAGTTCGTGTAAACAAGTTCCTGTTGACTTGCTCTGTTGGTTTTTCCACACTCATAACGAACTACCTAAATAATAGAGCTATTTTTCAGCATAATAAAAATGTTTGCAAGACATCTTTGCTTTGCATATATCTCGGCTTGAGAAAATGATCACATCTTGATTTTTTTTCAAAGATGGGCTGTTAAAAGCTCTACACAATCTGTATGAACAAATCCCTATTGCAAAACGAAAAAGGTCTTTCAAACATTTTTCCAATGCTCAATACGGTGGGACATAGCGCCATCATGTAAGTTGTTCGTATTAAGCATCGAAAAACCATCAGAACCAGTTAATAGAGATTTCTTTATACAGTTTTTGTAGAGCTTTTCACGATGCATCTTTTAAGAAAAACATCAAGATTTTTATCATTTTCTCAAGTTGAGATAAATGCAAAATACAAAATGTTGCAAAACTTTTGGAACACCCGGTACTCCTTCAGAAGTTATAAGTATTCTGCTAGAAATTCTGAGTCGAGTTTTCTATTAATTTCTGTGAAAACAGTCACTTTTGTGCATGTTTCTTATTTTATGAGAAAACCCTTTTCCCAGCATTGTTTTCAGAAAATTAGTAAGAAAACTCTAGAAAACATCTTAGAAAAATGTGTAATGTTATGTTCGATGCCTCTTCATCTCCTTTTTCGAACGGCGAAAATCGCAGCTGCCTATCTTGTTTCTATCAAAAGTTATTCGCAATCAAAGACTACCCGATAACTTTTGGACTACCCTGTATATTGATAGAAAAAATGAATCAAATGAAGATAAACTATATTCACACGATATGCGCACACAACAATGAACAATTATTATATTTCCCATAAGCACTGAAAAACTAGAATTCAGAAAAATCTCTAAAAATCTGAGAAAATTACAGAGAAAACTAAAAATCAGAAAGTTACCTGCCATATCTAACGATATAGTATCCCTGAATTCTATGTAGATTTTTTCCGTCAGTTATTAAATCAGTTATGTCGTTTTCTTTTGACTAAATCCATGTTTATTGCTTCTTCGAAAAACGTTCTTCGTTCATTCGAAGATTCGAAACATTCTCCTCAAAAGAGACAATTTGTCAATATTGTTGTAGTCATCCAGATTCGTTCTCTATTGAAATGTATTCAACCAAAAATACTATTTTTATAAAAAATTTCCGGTTCTTCTCTCAATCTGTACACAAAAAAAGAACATTATATGCTCGAGTCAAGAGTGTATCGAACGAGAAGGAAACACAAAACTTCAAAAGCATAGGGCTCGATGTGGAAATAGCAAAGATAGGCAAATCCCACCTCTTCCGGGCTACTTTTTACGTCATGTCTGCGAAAATTTTGAAAAGTTCGAAAAACTATTTGTATATTTGAGAAAGCAGTTTTTCTCAGTCATTCCCCGCTCGAAAGACAATTTCCAACTATCTATCAATTTCTTTTCTTCAGTCACTTCCAAAAACTATCGAGGACCCTGTTCAGGAGACTTTAT